TCAAAATAATCATCCTGCTGCGACAGTTCTACAGAAAAGATGCTTGGGGTAGACTTTAATGCAAGAGCTTTATAAACTGGTAAGACTACATAAGACAAGCTCAAAGTTTGGAAGGAGGCAAACTTCATTGTGAACGGACACAACTTCATACACATGAAAATGATTCAACCTGGGTATTATTGCAAAGCACTATATCTTAATTTCACTTTAGTATATTATACATTACTACCAATAGATATAATCTTGAATACGTAAATGATTTTTTAAAAAGTTGATAAAGATTTGTAATTACCTCAAAGTAAATTCCCACTGTATGATGAATACGTTTCATCAGTGTTGATCAGTTTCATCAGTGTTGATTACACTAAATCAACATTCATCATTAATTTCAATATCCCAAGGATGATACTTCAAACTGCAAACCTTTAGCTAAAAATACATTTATTAGACTTGCATGGTACACACAGCAGAATTGACACCTCAAAGGAATTGGTTGATTTGAATCCAGAACAAAAGTAATTTTGCACCCTCTGTTCACATTCACAATACAGGGTGACCAAAAATTAAAAAGTAACCATGAAGTCAGAAATTGTTCTTTTTTGTATTAAACAAAAAGTTCAGAGCATTATCCTTTCAAAATCGAAGACTTCATTTAAATTTGATACTGCATTTTGGAGATAATCTAGATTATGCAAGACATTGTTTTTGTTCCTTTTTTGGGGGGCTTTTTGCAATTTTGTGAAAAAGGCATTGCTTCTCTTCTGTTTTTTTTCTTTGTCTTCTGCGCAAAACCCATTCACTTTGTGCACGCTTTTTTCTCTACACAACTTTATTGCTTTTGCCACTTTGGATCTTGATCAAACTTTTACCAATGAAGGACCCTTATGCATTAAATGGTCCTCGAAACATGACGTCATGATGACGTCATCAAACAATTTATTATTGATTTTTCAATATTTATTTCAGCCCATTGACTTTGTACACATTTTCAAGGCAACATTTTGGTTGTTCAGCAACATTCAAATGTCATCAAAGTTACAGCAAGGAAAAACCTCGAAGCAAAGATAATACTCAAATAATCATGTCACGACAACATCAAGTGATTTGTTACTAAATTTTGAATATTTAAATATTACTTTAATTATTTTAAAATCCATATAAAATCAACTGTGGCTTCTTGCAACATTCTGTTTGCTGCAAGTGGCAAGGTAAAATTTGGTCTTCATTTTACCTCTCGTAGGTCAAATCACGTGACCCTTCTGGTCGAAACCCGAAGTGGGCTTATTGTTTAAAAGTGGTAATGGGTATCAGCTTGCTTTCAATGGTGTTAGTCGGTGGGGGTATAGTATTCTTCAAATCATCTACTGATGACGTCATGTCCTTATCAAGTGCCCTCTAGTGACAGGTTAAAAATTCTGAAAAAATGAATTTTGAGCAGATGTCTGTGGCGAAGTTTGTCCGAATCATCTGAAAATTGACATGTATGATTATTTTCACCCAGTCAACATGTGTGAAATTTGGGGCCGATGATGTCATCAGATAGGAAGTTATGTAAAAAGTTCTTTTATTTTTCAAAATTCGTAAAAAAATCAACCGCAACAGATTTCAGCGTGAATTTTTCATTATATGATAGCTAAAAACATTGAAGTCAACTGCATGAAGTGCATAAGTGGTGTACTTCTTCACACAGATGAAGCACCGACGATGAAAACCCCTTCCAATATTTGCGAACTCGAACTCCAATTCGCATACCGTGCATTGGGTGCTGTGTGCGTGGACGTGCAATATCTGCCTGTAACGTGTGGCAGGCAGCGCACAGTGCATATACTCAGGACCTGGCAAAATGCTGAGCACATTGTGCAGAGAACAGATCGCATTGTATGGAACGCCAAAAGAACAAATGTTTAAAATCTGTAATCTGTGCTAAATCATGTTTTGTATTGTATTTTTTGTTGTTCGTGTCTGACTGGGTTGAAACCTTGGAGATGGTTAGGAAGGAAAGGTTTATAAACGTAGACTGACCTCACGTGATGACAATATCTTCAGCAAACGAGTCACATGACATTAAAGGTGCATCTTTTGAAGTGCTATATCTCCTGGAGTACATTTCCCCTCTATTTCAAACGTTGCAGATATCAAGGAAAGGAAAGTGTTTTAGGCGAAAATGTACCTGATGTGGTGATGATGACATCAATGAGGAGTCGAATTACAGTTTATTTAAAACAAGTTATTTCCCCGTAGTGCATGCCTGATAAGGTTGAAATCTTGAACCCAAATGGTCATGATGAAATGATTATCAGGTTTGTGCAGTAGATTGGTTGTTCAATTTAACAAGGGAATGCAAACTAGCCCTCTGTTCTGTTGGCCAACAGACAGATGAGCTCTAGTTTCTTCTTCTGATGATGACCCAAATCCCATTTGTTTTGTTCCTGTTTTTTCTACCCACGACTTTGGTCCCTTAGAAACTTCGGATCTTCATCAAACTTATGTCAATGAACAACCCTTATGCACAGATGGTCCAAGAACAATGATGTCGTGATGACCTCATCAACTAATTTATTATTCATTTTTCAATATCTATTTAGCCTATTGACTTTGTACACATTTTTAGGCATCATTTTGGTTTCTCGGCTATCTTCGATAGTCATCAAAGTTACACTAAGGAAAGACCTTGAGGCAAAGATGATACTAAAATAATTACGTCATGATGACATCATCAAGTGATTTATTATTAAATTTTAAACATTTAAATATTCCGTTAAATTAAAAAAAATCCATATAAAATCAACTGTGGCTTCCTGCAACATTCTTTTTGCGCCAAGTGCCACAGTGAAATTGGGCCTTCAATTCATCTTGTTTGAGTCAAATCATGTGACCCTTCCTTCTGGTCGAAACCGGAAGTGAGCTTATTGTTTAAAAGTGGTAATAGGTATTAAGTTTTTTCAACGGTATAGTCTGTCGGTGTTAGTGCTGGGTTGAAACCCTGCTTGTATCTTGGAAAGGAAGTGCTTTAGGCAAATATTGAGCTCATTTAGTGATGACGTCATTAAACAATAAGTCACGTGACATTAAAGGCGCACTATTTAATAAGCTATATCTCCTGCTTTAAGCAAACATTGACCTCATGTGATGATGATGTCATAAAGTGACAAATCATGTGACATCAAATTTGCATCCTTTAAAGTGCTATATCTCCTGAACTGTACGTCAAATCGGGTTCAAACCTAGCAGATATCTTGAAAAGGAAGTGCTTTAGGCAAACATTGACCTCATGTGATGATGACGTCATTAAGTGAAAAATCACGTGACATTAAAGGTGTATCCTTTAAAGTACTATATCTCCTAAAGTACATGTCCAATGGGGTTGAAACTTGGCTGGTGTTTTGAAAGGGAAGTATTATAGACAAAATTGACCTCATGTAATGATGATGTCATCAGATAATCATGTCATGTCATGTCAAGGGGCACTCTCTTGAAGTGCATGCATGATTGGGTTCCAAACTTGAACCTATATGGACATGATCGTATCATTTCACCAAAGGGCTTATGCTTTAGATTAATTGGTTAAATTTCAGAAGGAGAAAAAGCCATCTGTTCTGTTGCCAACAGACAGATAAGCTCTAGTTTGTTCCTTTTGTTCACTAACTGGGGGAAATAACATGTTGTTTTGCTGATGACTGCATGGTCTATCGTCAAGTCCAGTCGCCAGTAAACAAGTACTTATTCCAGAAAGATTTTGACATTTTAAGCGGGCAAAAACATGGTGCATGAAATTTAGTCTCAGCAAGAAAATGGAATCCTGCCAATACAAACTACTGAGTTTTAGGAGTTACTCTTCAAGAGAAAACGGAAATCACTTCCCTTGACATCCTCATCCAAAATAATCTAAGCTGGTGTTCCAGCTGGTGCACATGCTGTTGCAAAGGCCATCCACAGGTAGCAAGGAAGATCTTTATTTAACCTTGGTTAGACCTGATCTGGAATATGGTAGCAAACCATTGAAACCTGTACACCAAGAAAGGTGTCAATGTACTGGTCAGTATGTAGAGGTGTGCTGCAAACTTTATGTGCAACAACTACTCAAGGTGGAGCATTGTGACTAACATGGGCAATACTTGAACAAAGACAAGAGATAAATCAGTTCATCTACATGTACCTCCACAAAATAATAAAGTACTCATCAAACTAGATGATAGATAGCTATCTTTGTGCAGAGAAAACAACTCTGAACAATCTGAAATTGCAGCAAAAATGCTACACAAACTCATTTTTACCACAGACTATCCAAAAGTGAAACAGACTTCCCACAGGATACCATACAAATTTAATGAGTTAATTTCAAAATAAGTCACTCTCCATAGCCTCTTACATGTAGTGAGTCTTCTAAGATGAGTATTCAAGATGACAAGGACCAAGAACTATCTCATTAACCACTTGCTGCTGGGGAATCCCGTTACGAGCACCATGGGTTTATACGCAGAGCCGGGGTGAGCGAAATGGGACATAAGAGCTGGTCTGTGTACATGAAAGACTGTACTCGGAACAAAAGACCTGCTGCTGGAATTGCCATCATTTTTTGGCTTGCATATTTTGAAGGTAATCTGTAACTGTTTTTAAACAGTATACCACTGTTTTGGGCATAGCGCGCCCGCGGATTAGCACTGTGGACAAAAGTGCTCCAGGGCCCCATTGATGAGTGACACAGCACTGCTGCATGCTAATCCAGCCGCGTTTGAAAAGACTCCACTCGCATTCACTGGGGACAAAGGAAATTACGCAATGCCTAACAATTCTGGGCTCTCGTTACAGGGCAGCTGGCCTGGCTGAAATACTCAATGAAGGTTGCCCGTCAGCTAAGAGTAGCCACCAAACAGTCATTTGTGGGGGTGTAAACATCCATTAAATGAAATCATTAATTTTGAAGAATTTTGAAAACTGAAAATCTTGAAAATATCCCGTATGTGTGCACTGCATTTTTAAAAGCAACTGGCAGCAAGTGGTTAAGCAATGAAACTGCACAATTAACAACCACTACATTCTGAAGTGAGCATCGGTTTCAAGTTTAGAGCTAAACGTAGAAAGGAATTTGAAAGAATCAAGGAACCAAAACAGTTGTGCCATAATTTAAGATTTGAATTCAGAGACTGCATGCATTTGCAAGATAAACAATATAAATCTCCACTGGACAGAACAAAAATAAGTTGAGCTACGTACTTTGCAATATTTCCGCAATGCATCACCAGATTTAAATGAAGTCTTCAGTTAAAAAAAAAAGAACATCCTGAACTATAATTTGACACTGAGAACAGCATTTTTCGACAGTTATTTTGGGAGAAACTAAATGTTACTTTTGGGTTACTTTTTGGGGGACTAACTCTGTGCATGTGGATATTTATAATTAATCTACACACAATTTTTAATTCCCTTCTAGAGTTTTAACCAAAAATTGCATGTTCCATATTCCACGCTTGCTGTGTTCACAAGTTGCTACATAATTAAATACACACCAGTCATCTCATAATGCACTGGCTGGATTCATTACTTGACCAAACGAAGGCATACATGTATCTCTTATGTCTTGATATCAATGCATTGGATGATACACAGATTTTTTTTAGCCTTCAAGTGCATTCCTTCTGAAAAGCATACGAGGTTACTTTATCAAATCACCATCTTTTTAATAGCAACATGTACATGTATGTATGCATGGAATGATTGGTTTTAGATCTGTACAGAGTGTGCGTGAACCAGCATTAATCATGTCTGTTTCACTAATGTGTTTCCCAGCTATCACAAGTTCATATAGTAACATCTCATGCTATATGTTGACTGAAAAAAAAAATTAACAGTACATGCTATTCAAGTATTTTATGAATATTTGAAAGCCAAATAACATTTTAAAAAGGATTCAAGAACGAAGTCTGGACAGGGTTGCTTCTGTTTGAAAAGAGTGACTATTTCAACAATCACTCATGACTGGACCCAAAGGAGGGATGCAAGGGTTGAAAATTCCTTTTTGGGTGTGCTTTTATGTTTTCTTTGCTTTTATCTTTTTCATTCTTCTTGAAGCTTTTGAAATGAATGCCGGCACATGTTAAATTAAGCTAATGTTGCCAGTAATCTTGTCAGGTTAATAGGAATAAATTTATGGGGTGCTTTGGTTAAGGCAAGGGGTTTTAATTTCAGTTGTTAGAGAACCCTCTTCTCTGCAACATGTTACCAATAAAATAAAAATTTAAATAACAATGCCATGGCCTAACTGTAATAAGCAATTATGCATACACATATATTTTGTTAGCCATTAAACAAAGCAAGAACGTTCTTTACGCACAGTACAAGGAAACACAGATTTGGATTTAGCTTGACTATTTAACAGCCTAAGTTTCATTCACTTACTTTTCTAACTTACTTTTTTTAACTTACTGTTAAGCTTGATTTATTTGGGCCAGTATTTTGCTACAAACCAATATCCAATGCCAATTTGTCACCAATCTGAATGGCCACAAATGTGATCATCAGCAAATGACGTGAATGCGTAAGCTTTATATTCACTAATGCTTGACCATAATTTGTGTATTGATCATTTTTACTTTAATAATATACAGAATTAGTGTTAAGAGTGAAGTTTCTGCAGTACCCTACATTCAGGCTCAATCAGGTTTCTGTCACAAAAACACACTGTAGGTTTGTGCCCATGTAACTGAAAATTGGTCTCCAGCTGTTTTCAATGGTCCACACAGCCCATTAATAGTTCCAGCACCAATTTCATAGTGACAAGTCTTACATTTCAATCACTCAGCTTGGAGTAAGTTGAAGGGCTGAAACGTCTACGTAGATACTTGAGAATATATAGAGGAACACAACTGATGAGTGTGATGACCACCACTTTCCACCAGAATGTACCAGTGATGATGAAATTACGATCTGTAATCAGAGCAGAAAAATGACCGGTTTGAAAGGCTTGTACAAGTACAGCTCATTTCACATACATGCAAGTCCATGAGTGGGCATGACCACACTAGTTCAATGGGACACGTGATGGAAACATAGTGTCTACTCATTGCTTAGTATACTGATTAAAAGTCTAAGTACATCTCCATAAAATTGAAATAAATTACATTTGACTTTTTTTCCATTCTGTGCTATCACTAAAACAACTAGAACTAAACCACATCAGCTTTTATCACAGCTTACCTGTAAACAAAAAAGTCAAGTCTCTTTACAACACAGAATTTGAGGAAACTAAGCGCCTGCGACCATTTAGACCCGGTTTGAAAAGGCCCCCCCCCCCCGGTAAGCTCACCCTGTTGCAAAAACCCTTTTCATACCGGCCTGGGATGCTGGACTGGTTGTTTATCTCGAACTTCTCCATCCTGGGGTCTATTGTTTGCAAGTACTGGTACATGTAATCTATCCAAGAAGGAACATGCTTGTGGTTTTTAATCCTTCAGCTCTATACAATGTTTACACTAATCTGCTTAGATCCCTATTCATCTGTGGAAGCATGGTGGGGGAAGCTTTCATCAGGGACTTTGAAATGCTGATGTACAGACAGGCCTGGTACCGGCCTGGAGTAGCCTGAATAGGTGAATTAGGGCAGGCATTATACAGGGTGGGCTACCGGGGGCCCTTTTCAAACCGGGCCTAAATGGTCGCTGGCCCTAAACATTTCAGATTTTCAGAGAAAAAATTTCAAGAACATTTAAGATCCTACACAGATTTTGAACACAATCAACACTTGCATCGTGATGAGCAATTGTGCTTTCATTTTGTTTCAGGGAAATCCCCCTCCCCCACCTAGAGTGGGTTGAGTCTACGACTGCATATCTACCAGATTACCAATACATGTACATATGCATTATTTCCTAGTCCATTACTTTCATTCACTAAATTCTCGATCCCCCACTCACTCGGCCTCCCAGCGAAGGCAGCTGCCTTGTTCTTCCTCTTTTTCAACATGCAAAGTGTGCCTAGGCCGTGAGGGGAGGAGGGAGGGAGATTGGTAATCAGGTAGGTATGCAGTAGTAGACTCAACCCACTCTTGGTGAGGGAAAAGTCTACTGCCTGCAACGTACATAGATTACCAATACATATGCAGAGTAGCATCGAACCTGTGGACGATGTGAAGGCGAGGATGCACCATCAACATCTATCCTCCACTAAGGAGGCAAATGAGATTAATACAAAAACAAGTGTATGGTCCCCCTGCAAAACTTATCTGAGATAACAGGAGGAGAATGTGGTAGGAGTTTCCAACAACCAGCTTTGCAAATGTCCATCACAGAAACCCCTTTGAAATAGGTTCATGAGGATGAAACGCCACAGACGTCATGTGTGCCAATATGCTGTTTACACTGGTCATCTGAACCAGAAGGCCAGTCAACATTACCAACTTAATAGCTGAAACCATCCACCTTGCAATCATGTCTCAGAAGGCTGGACAATAGGTCTTGGTGGATGTGATGAACAGCTGTGCAATTGATTAACCCTAACAGCCCTGAATCCTCCAATTTTAATATGATTTTGCATACATCCTAGGGAGTTAGGGATAAGGTACCATATCAGCATGCGGACAGGGCACCAAAGTTTGTCAGACGAGGATGACGTCAAGGACTAAATAGCCAGAATGACGATATCCGGGGGATGGAAGGATGGAGTGAACCTTCCTGGTGGACTCGCAGTTTTGAAAAAAATCTGTGATCATTTTTAAGAGATGATTATGTAAGTTTGGAAGTGAGATCATTATGCATCTGTATTTCATTGCAAAATAACAGGAAAGGAAGGGGGAAATGATGGAAAGGAATTGTGTGACTGCATTTCACTTTCACTTAATGTTCTTTGAAGTTTTAAAATAAAATGACAATGACTTTTTTCTTTATTTGAGAGGTATTATTGCAATAAAGAAAGTTCCTTACTTGGTCTGGGTCCCTCTTTCATTAAGCATTTTAGTGATTGAAAATATGAAGTAATCTGAAAAACTGAAAAGCAGCCTTTTCCCAGTGACTCTCTTCCCAATTCAATTGTGTTTTTCAATTCTTCCTAAAGAAGTAATATTCATTGGGTGACTGTTCCCTCAGTGCGTTCTGAACCTGTGAGGTCAGGGTGTGGAATTATGTACGTATTTTGCTGGCGATCTCAATGAAATTGGCCTCTTTTGTTCAACCCATGATTTTCCTTTCAAGTTTTTTCACTTATCTTCCAGTTCAAGTTGAAATAGACCGTGTTTCTGTCCATGGAGGTACCTGTAATGCCTGCGTGTTCTGTCATGATTTTTATTTGCAAAAAAAACATATTTTTAATTTTCAGTATTATTTATTTCTCGGAAGTCTTAGTCAAAAGTTTAAATCAACATTTCCATGAAAATGAAACCACACAAAATGTGTTGAAATATTTCACAATTGAAAAGCTGAGTTCCAATTCAGATGTCCTATTTGGCCAATCGCTAGGCAGTTTAAAAAACACTCTTATCTGCTATTCCAGGTCATGACACAATACCGAGTCCGAGATAAGCCACAAGCAGGTAGAAGTGTCATCGTTTGGCTGGTTTACACAACAACTGGCACAAAAAAAATCTCTTCACCCTCCAACGTACATTGGGATCGACAATCAACATTCTTTCAACTACTTTTTAGTTTAAATTCCACTTAAGCTGTGTTATAACCCTCAAATTACAACTAACCTTCGCACACAAATCATCATCTGCAGTATACTCTACATGTCTGAACAATAGCTGGCGCTGTTCACTGTGCTCGAAACAATGTCAAATCCTGCGTGGCGACGGCTTTTAAGTTGATTTTTTGTAGCCAATTAATCAGTCAACCAGTTAATGAATAAACTAGACATTTTAGCCCTGGCTGTTTATGGCCGATTGTAAAAATGCATCAACAACCATACTGTATGTCGATGCATATTTTTCTTGTTTGGTACTTTTCATTGTTTACTGTAAAGGTAAATGCAAATTTCTGCACTCTATTCAATATTTTTCAAAAGCAAATTTATATCAGTTGAAATAGTGTCTGACAAGCTACAAAATGATACAAAGGTTTCTGTCTGACGATACAATTGGTTTTGAAAAGCGGGGTTTTTGTTGACTTTTTTCAATTATGATAAGTCTACCTTTCTTAAAAAAAATATAATCCACAGCACTCATCACACATAGGTGTTAAGATAAAATGCTTAATGTATATTTATTTATTTTAATATTACTATTTGCCCCAAATATATAATATATGTATGCATTCTTTGTTAAAGCTTTGACCATCATTGCATGCTTTGGAAAGAACACAAAAGTAAACAGCCCATCAAAAACAGCATGCTATTAACCTAAATTAAACTATGAAGAACTTCAAAAAATCCCGGCCAAAAATGGATGGAACATGTCACAACAAGCATACCCTCCCCTGGTTTCCCTGTTCCCCCCCCCCCCCCGTCAATGTTGTTCTCTCCAGCTGGGACAAAACAAAGACTTTGTAATGACGGACAACACCGAGAGGAAACTAGGGGAGGGGGGCCCAGCAAGATTTGGCCAGGATTGTAGTTCCCTATTTAATCCAACCCAAATGACAATTACAACACAGCAAGCATAGTCACATACATGAACTCAAATATTAAAAACCAATGGCAACTTTAGTTTTTTCAGTATGAATTAAAGAACCCATTTCATCCTACAAATATGTTGCACACTTGCTTTGAAGCTTTCTTTTGCTGACTGAAAGAGCTGACAATAGTTTATATGTGAAATTTGCCTGCAACTGCGGGCCCCCGATTGTTCCTCGTTTGTTTGTACTTCAACTTTTTTAGAAGGCCACCCATATGTTTTGTACACAGTTGTCAATCGGGGACCCTCTGTCAACCAGGGACCTTATTGTCCTCTATTGTTCAAGGTCCCCTATTGAATGCAGAAACAAACTCACACCCCCCACACCCACATGTACATGAATCTTAGTTTTGCAGATTTAAAACATTCAATGGGGTTTTGTGTTTCCAAGTTCTCAGATGATGACATTTATTTGTGCCCCAGAATGTGAGAATTAAATTAAATTGATATTTTTTCTGAAACAGCTGAGTGGTGTTGCAAAATCTGTTATCTTATCTAATAACTGTCATTAGGTTACTTACTTTTTCACATAAAATTTTCTCAGTTACATTGTTTAGGACTTATTTTAGGTTTGGCGACTATCTACACATCAGGTTTGGCATTAACCACTTGCTGCCAGGGAGCCTGGTTTCGGGTATATTTTCTTTATATGCAATGCTGGGCTGCCTGAAATCGGACGAAAGAACTGGGCCTTGTAACAAAAGACTCGTAACAAAAGAATGGCCGAAATTTTTTTAATTGTTGATAGCGGAGAAAATCTGTCATTGTTTTGAAAGATTATACCACGGTTTGTTGCATTCAGTGCGGGACAAAAGTGCTCCAGCGATGAGCAATACAATACTGATGCGTGCTAAATAGATGTCGTCTGTCAGATTAGAGTCGATGGGGTTTAGGTGTTCAGGAAAAAAAGATATGAATTTTTGAAATTTAAAAAAAAAATTATTCATACCCAGACAAAATCCCATGAAAAAATGTCCTTTCATTAATACTGCTTATTTTCACTTTCTACGACTGCCAGAATCTTTGGCATGAAGCTATTTCAAGATGTTCCAATACAATAAATACGTTCTTTCGATGACTCTGTGCTCAAGATTCTGATAAAATGTGATCTCTCACAAAAAGTATAAAAAGAAAAAAGTTTTCAGATCATTCTCAGTTACTTGTCACCTTTGCCAAGAACAAGGAACTCGGAGAGGATATACACCAGCGTATCATGAATGCCCATAAAGAAGGTAAAGGTTACAAGGCAATTTGCAAGCAATATGAGGTCCCTGTTGCAACAGTTCAGAGTATCATCAGGAAGCATAAGAGGTTCAACACAGTAAGT